AGCTGACATACTGTGGAAGAAGAAGGTGAAACTGGAAGCACTGGGCAGGGTATGATTATGGCTCCCCCAGGAGTTCATGGAAGTGGCGAGCAGCGGGGGGTCCTGGGCCTGGCTCGTCTCCTGGCCCCGGAAGCACAGGAAGTCCGAGGCGCTGTGGCTCAGTAAGAAGTCGCTCTTGCCGTAGCGAAGATGCAATTTCCCAGCTTGGCGGGCCCAGTAGAGGCAGAAGTGGTAGATGCCCCTGGGGTCAGGGAACTTGAAGACTGACTGGTTTGCCGGGAAGGGGGCGTGAATTGTGAGCGCCTCCTCGGAGTTCCTGATGGAGAGGCGCAGCTCATGCACCTGCTTGTAATGGAGGCTGCTGATCTGTGTCTGGTTCCGCTGGCCGCAGAAGCGGAAGTCTTCCCGGTGGCCGCCCCCATGGGCACCTGGAGAGGTAGAAAGTGAAGATGGATCCAGAGCAGTGGCCAGACAGGGGCCTGGGACAGGCAGGCCAGAACAGAGGAGCCAATGCCTGAGACCCATAAACATTCCAAGGAGCTGTATAAAAATGTGTGTACTGGGCCCTCCCTGGTAGTGCAGTGGGTTAAAGCACAATGAGAAGCTAAAGCCACTTCAGCATGAGTTCGATTCCCACCCAGGAGCTGACCCACATGGTGCGGCAGACCTCTCCTGACCTGCCCGCTGCTCCCCTCAGCAGTGTACTTGGCCAGTCAGCCTGTTCTGCTCCCCGCTCTGTCTCTGGTGAATCCTCTCACTGCCCCACACCTCTGGCCTGTACCCCAGTTCTGTATGCATAAATAAATAAATCTGTAAAAAAAAAATATGTGTGTACCCTACTCAAAAAAGTATGGGCTTGATCTCAAAATATGAGAAGAAGCAATCTAACATCAATAATAACTTCAAATACAAAAGCAATTTAATAGCAATAAAGTATTCCATGGGGCCAGGTCTGCCGTGGACAGTTGCACAGGCTGTGCATTGTGCAAGGATGTCACGGCACAGAGAGGCGTCTGTGGCTCCACCCTGCCAAAAGACTAGTGGATTCCTTTTTTCCTCAAAGGTACAGTCCATTTTCTAAACTGTCTATATACCCTTGCCTCCCGATGGGCTAGGGGGTGTCCTAGATTGGGAGGAAGGTGGCATGTAGCACACAGTCCAGGGCATCCTGGAGAAAGCCTACCTTGAACCAGGAGGAGCAGGCCCAGCAGCAGCAGGGCGATCTGCAGCAGCACTTGCGTGGCCATCTTCCTTCCTGGAGTCAGCCTGGGGTGCCCGCCTGGAAGAGGTCAGGGATGTCAGCTAGGGGCCTGCCTGGCAATGGGGGGCTAGTGGAGCATGACTACAGGATGTGAGGGGCCAGGCAAGTATGGACTTCCCAGAGCTGCCAGAAGCAGAGCGTTAAAAGGCAGCAATGGCCCAGAGTCCAGCTTGGCTCAAGGCTGACTTCACCCCTTGCTTGCTGTGTGACCTTGTCATCATCATCAGAACAACCTTCTGGGCCCAGCAGTGATGGGGTGATCTTAGCTAGAATCTCATGGAGACAGCTCTATAGGAGCTTTCCTGAAACTGCCACCACTACCCTTCTTCTGCCAGCCTGGAGAAGATGCAGGAAAAGGGGGGGTCTTGGAGTTATCCCCTAAGTACCTCAACATCATCATCCCAGAGACCCAGCTCAGAGGACACAAGCTTTAGGAAGGCTTCCCTAAGTCTTCTGCAGTCAGTGAGGGTTTCTTCTGGTTCCCACCACTGACCTGGACAGGGAGGGGCATTCCCTCCTTAGCCAGCCAAAGAAACCCTGATTCATCTCTGTGGACAGATTCTAGTCATCCAAGTTACTGGACAAGGTTGGCCCCTGGACACGGGATGGAAAGGGAATGATGTCGCAGCGCCCTCTACAGGAAGAAGGAGGGAATGACACTTCAACATGACCACTAGGGGGAGCCAGTTCCCAGGGCGTTGGGCAGCTTGGACGGGGGTGAGGGGGATACTCAGTGTGGCCTAAGTGGTAGAAGGCCCAACTACCTTCCCCCCAACTCTTATGCACTTCTGACGCGGGCCCTGCCCCAGCCTCTATTAGCTGAGCACCAACTACCTGATCCAGCCCCACACCTGTCTTAGTGCTCATTCCAATGCTATGAAGTAGACCCCGTTGTTGGCCCATTTCACAGACAGGGAACCTGAAGGCTAAAGGGTTTAAATGACTTGCCCAAGATGACTCCAAAGGCCTGGCATTTTCCCCACTGGGTCAAGTCTGTAGTGCCTGACAGGGAACTTGTTTGCTTGGTACTCTTAAATGGATGCCAGGTGGCTTTGTGCTCACTACTGCCAGCCACCCTGTGACCAAAATGGGGGTGCTGACAGTCACGGTGGGGCATCCTCATCTTGTGGTAAATTGCATTTGGGCATGGTAACATGCAATTGTCTGCCACAAGTCAAACAATTTGGCAACCTGGGGACATGTGAGGAATCTGAGTTTGGGAAAGAAACCAAGGAGGGCTTCCAGGAAGAGGTGACTTGTAACAGCCTATTTAAGGACAGAATTAAAACAAAGAATGTTCCAGTCAGGCATTCATTATCTTCTTCCTGGGCAGGGAAGGTCCAGGCTCCTATGAGCCAGTCTCCAGCTAGAGTCAGTCTCCTCTGTCCCACCATCCATTATGGATTCTCAATTTCTCAAGCCTCATCAGTCTGTTCAGTCAGTTGGGCTCAGCAGCATTCATCATCCTGTTCTGCTGGCATCACAGGACCCACAGAAGGATGTGAAAGTGTTTTAGAGAATGACCACTATTTCCTAGGTTGATATCTTTAAGGTTTCATTCTGCATCCTTTTGAAAATCCTTCCCACCACATCAGGCCAGACGGAACGCCCCACATCCGGAGGCAGAAACACATCCTTCCTGGAGCGTTTCTTTCCTTCTCCTTTCTGCCAGTCACTGTCTAAATGTCACTTACTAGGAGCAGGCCCTTGCCCTGACCAGTGCTCTAGATCCCTTTGAGAATCCGGCCCAAATTCCCCCTTATTCAGTATTTGCATTTGAGGCCCAGAGAGGGCCAGTGACTTCCTGGCATCACACAGCAAGCAATGATGGAGTTAACTTGAACCCACCTACCTCTCTGGTCCACTGACTTCCAACCTGAGCCACCACTGCCAACAGTCATGGCCCTTCCACAGGACAGAGTCACTCATGTGCCTCAGCCCCCCTGGGTTAACCTTTGGGCAGAGACAGGGAGTGAACGCCCCGTTACTAGAGGAGCACACATGAGGTTGTACCACGGGGCAGTCCGGTGGCAGAGATTCAAACGCAGACCAGGGGACAGCTCGTTAGCTATGTGTCCCTGGCTGAATTAATCACCCTCTCTGGGCCTTACTTTCCTTGACTGTAAATAGGAAAAAAAATCTAGGCTACTTCAAAAGTTGTGAGTTAAATGAATTGATTAAAGGAATCAGCGCCTGTGAAGGGCTTGGAATGCGCCCTGGGGTCAGCTGAGTACCTATATTCTCTCTGACCAGCTCATGTCTGCCCCTAGCCCAACGCCCCCCAACCCCCACACACCTACCTACCACAGCCTCCTACTCCCTGCCCTCCCTGCCCCCCCCTTCACCCCTCTGCCCTGAGGAGCACCTTGACAGGAAATTCTTAGCGCATGAAACTTCCTTTCCGGGAGCAATGGGAACACTGAAACCCCACCCAGAAAATTCCCTCCTTTCAGCTGACCCAAGGCTGTCCCCAAGGTCTTCTGAGGAGCTGGAGAACTGGACTGGGGACAGGGGATTCCAGCCCTGGTGGGGCAGTGGAGGGCACTGGCCTGCTTGTCCTCTGGCATGCCCCCCCACCACCACTGGGAACACCTCCTCTCACATAGCGGCCTCCTCCAACTCCTGCCCAGGCTGGTGAAGCCCACATGGCCTGCTTTGCACCCCCCCCATCCACGCAGCCCACTCGGGCGCACTGCCAGTATCCACAACAGAGGTCACACACTCTCAGCACCCCCAGCAGAGCTGCAGAAAACGGGGATATGACCTGGGTCACCACAGAGCTCCATCAGAAAGGAGGGGCCTGCACTCTGGAGGTTGAGGCCCAGAAACAGGGGCCCAGACATAAACCTCCACACGACACGCCCACAGAACATGATCCCGGACTCTGGAGCGGGGACTCAGCTTTGGCACCCTCAGACGGGCCACTGGGCTGCAGGCCAGACTGACACAACACTGCATGAGCCAGGGCTGGGGGTGCTTGAGAAGGGCCATCCTCTCAACAGCACCCCAGAAATAGCCATGCTTCTCCATTAGCACCTGGGCTCCTCAGTCATGCTCTGAAGCTGCTCCTAAGATGGCTTGCTGTTTTACAGATGGGGAAACTGAGGCTTGGCAAAGCTATCTGTTCCTAGGTAGCTCTCCACCACAGTGGAGCTGAGATGTGGGCTGAACTGGTGGAGCAAAGGCCCCCTAGCTTTGAGAGACCACCCCCAAGGAGAGAAAAGGGGAGCAGTCAAGCCCACAGGACATGCAGACTATTCCAGCCTAGAAGAGAGGACTTGGGGGGCCAAGATCCCCCAAGGAAATGTCCCCTCCAGCTCCTTCCGGAGCCACTACATTTGACCTCAGGCCTTCCGTAAACACAAAAGGAGAACAGAACAGTCCAGCCCAGTGTGACACAATGGGACACCCTCACAGGGTCCCCAAGGGCCCAGCGGAGCCGAGCTGGCCAGGGCTTGTCCAAGCCGAATCCACCCATTTCTCCCAGGACACCTGGGCCAGGGAAGGGGCTATCGCCCAGCTCAGGCCCAATCCTGCCAGCCTCCCCTGGGGGGGGGGGGCCGGGCGGGGGGCAAGGGAGGCCATGGGCAGGGGACCTCCTGCTCACTTTCTCCCCAGGGCCTGAGTCACTTCCTCTGCCAGCCGTGTAGCGCCACGAGTCACTTCTGGCCAGCTTCGGACTCCTGGAAAACCCATTTCCTCAGAGGATGGAGTGGAGTGGAGTGGACAGGAGCTGGCGCCCCTGGGCTTAACCCTTCCTGGGCAGGCGCTGCGGGAGACGCCCCATACCTGGACCCAGGCCTTTCCTTCTCCACCCCCACAGCGTGGTCCATGGACTCAACACCCCCGTCAGCCCACGCCCTGGAGGTGCCTGCACGGAATGCCTCATTCCCTGGGGCAGCTCATCTCTCCAGACAGACTGTCTGTCCGCCCACCCCACCAGAATTCACTCCCACCCCCCGCCTGCCCTGCAGCACCACGCGGAGGTGGGTAAGTGCCCAGACCCACCTGAAATGAGAACCACCCAAGGAGACGGTGAGAACGCTGGCTACCGGGCCCCTACACGGTCCGATGCTCCAGGGCTGGGAGCCACATTCACCAGCGTCCTACTGACTGGCATGACTTGGGCCTGGGAACCCCCAAGCTTGGGACAGCCCACGACCCTGTTCCAGGAGCCCCAGAGGGCTGGGCACCAGCCTGGGATCCCCCTCAAGGAAATGGCAGCCCAACGGCGGATCCTGTTGCCCAGTCAGGACCCTGTTGCTCCTCTGGTGACCGTGACAATGACATGCCGTGCTCCCCTGTAGGGCCCCTATGCTCAGTGGGGCGCATGGGGCATTGGAGAGCAAGCCAAGAGGAGGAGGTGGGTGGCGCCAGGGACGGGAGCCAGAGAGAGGCGCCCCCTGGGGCCCTGCGGGTCTGAGCTGGTCTTGCTCTCCTGGGAGACAGAGAGGTCCACTGGCCTGCGCCGGCCGGCAGGGCCACTGCTCGCCCCGCCCTGCGCTGGCCTCCCCGGGAGGGGCGCACCCAGCTACCCGCTGCCCCTCTGGCCCTGGGCAGAGTCAGGAGCGGACAAGGAGCAGTGGATGAGGACAGGGCCTTGGAAGACCGGGTGCGCCCTGAGTGCAGACGTGGTGTGCCAGGGTGCTGGGCTGCAGGGGAGCCAGGAGAAGCAGGAGGGGCTAGGAGCAGCCTTTAAGGAGGTGGCCCAGACAGACCTCAAGGTCCCCCAACCCAACTGCGTCACAGAGGCGCAGGGTCCCAGCTCTAGCACACCTCTCCGCAGAGAGGATCCTCCACCAATGGTTGATCTGAATTAGGAACGAATCAAAGGAGGGGCCTGTCAGAGCCCGGTGGGCTGCTGGCCATACCCCCTGCCCACCCATCCCCCAACCTAAGGCTCCCTGGGCATCCTTTGTCAAGTACTAAGTGACTGTCCCTTCCTCTGTCATGGTCCACAGGTGGGTTCTGTGGCCCGAATTAGGGGAGCCCCAGGAAGGGCATTCTGGGATTACCGGGCAAGCAGAGTGACTTCAGGTTTAAGGAATTTTTCCACAATTAAAAATTAAAAATTAAGCTTGCTGCCTGGCCCTGAGGCTGGAGATGCCAGGCCTCACCTGCTCACCAGCCAAGGCACCTTGCATTCTTGCCCCAGACTGCTGCAGGGCAGTCCATGCCAGGGCAGATCCCTGCAGCTGGTGGTCCAGCCAAGTGCTGGGGCCAAGACTCCCCCTGCATGCCCAGACAGCCCTGGCCCTGGGGGGCCCCAAGGAAGGGGAGAAGAGGGGCTCCCTGCCAGCCCAGGTGGAAAGGGCCTCTCTTTGGGAAGGACTGTGAGTTCTAGAGACCCCCCACTCTGCAGACTGCTCTGCTGGGCACAGAGGGCTTGCTTAAGAGGCCAACACAGTCAGCCAACGGGGTGCCTCCCTCTGAACCTGTCACAACCGGCCCTGCTCCCGGGGTGCCAGCCTTGGGCTGTGTCTGGGACGGTCCCAGCGCCTGGCACCTCAGGCCTAACTATCCTCCCGCACCCATGCCTCCATGCTCCAGCCCTGGCCACCTGGCAGAACACCAGATCATGGCTGGGCACAGCCATAAAAAGTACCTGGAATCCAAGACAAGGGGGGCAGCCTTGGAGCTCCCCTTTAGCAGGGGCTCAATTTGCCCTGGCATCTTGCAAAGGATTTGCCACAACTTATATTCCGTCCTTACCGGAACAGTGAAGCAAATGCTGTTATTATCCCCATTTAGAGAAGGAAGCTGCTAACCGAGCTCACACAGCCAGCGAGTCGACACTCCGGGACCCCAGCCCCAGGGCCTCCCAAGGTCAAGTCCAGGTTCTCATCATTGGGAAAGGGAGTCCTTTCCCTTCCCCGGACTGTCTGTCTCCCTGTCTCTACCGTGCTGGAGATCCCTTCCCAGGGCACTGTCCAAGAAATGCTAGTGCCCAAGGGACTAGTGTTCTTGGTCATTTGTGACCCAAGGGCTCTGAGAAGTCCTGAGAAAGGGGCAGCGGGGTTTGCTTGGGCTTGGGTTCCTGGCCCAGCATTCCAGTGCACCTACTTTTTTTGTAATATGGACACCTATTATCAACATGAAAAACAAGTTCTCTGAAATCCTGACACTTGTGGACAGAAGCCTGAGACCAGCATCCCCACTTCTGCCTCGCCCCCCCCACCCCCTTCCCCTTTGACTTGTCCCTTGGGCCATTATCCAGGCTAAACTAGCTGCAGGAGCCATTCAAGGCTGTTCCCGGGGCAGGTCCCCCAGGGAGACCGGGGCAGGTCCAGCTCTTGGGGAAGGAGCACTGCTGGCCCTGCTGGCCATTCTATTAAAGCCAGCACAGCCAGCTGGGTCCTCAGCCTCACCTCAAGCAGCTGAGACACTCAGGATGTTGGAATTAAGGGGGGCAGGGGGTGCAGAGGGTGTGGGGGAGAGATAGAGAGGGAGAGAGAGTGTTGATGTAAGGATACAGAGATCGTAGGAGCTGAGAATCAAAGCCTGTTTAAAGCTGAAGGGAGGTTGAAGAGTTCCAGAACCTACAGGAGCAGGGGTTTAGGAGACCAGGTGGGACTGGGGAACCCAGTTCTCACAAGCAGCCCAGACGCTCAGGTGCCAGACCAGGGACAGTCGCAGCTCACGGCCAAGTCACCTTGCCTCTGAGGAGCCCCTGATGCCGGCCTTGAGGATCCCGGACATGCCCTGTCCACCTGCACAGGGGCCGTGGATCCCCAAGGAGGCAGCACGAGTCAGATGCATGTTCTAGAACTGGCTTTGCAGCTAACTGGCCCTGGTGCCCCGGGGCCAGCCTGCCTATCTCCAGGCCTCCCTTTCTGCCTATTGACTGTGACCCCGACCCTGGCCCCCACTTACTCTGGAGTTCAGGACGCTCCAGGCCTCCTCCAAGTAGAACAGGCTGCAGCGTGCCAAATGTAGGTGTGGGCTCACCGCCCAGCTGGCAGCATGGGCCAAAGAGGGCACTGGGCTGCCCGCCCCCCCCAGACCGGCCCTCAGACGGCAGGCAGCAGGCAGCCCTCCACTGTCTGGCTGAAGTTCCCTTTCCCCATCGGCGCTCCCACACTGCCCAAGGCCAGGCCTGCAAGGTCAGCCAGTTACCTTCCTGCTGGCTTTCAGGAGATTGCATTTGGCTATCTTGGGTCTGGCAGAAGGCCCATCTCTGGGTGCAAGACGCTTAGCATCCCCAAGGTCGGCCACAATTCCCCCTTTTTACTCACCCTCCTCCTCTAGGTCCCAGGTCCCTGGCTGAGGAGTGGACTGGATAGCCAGGCATCCTCCCCTAGGAGGCTGGGGGCCTGGGAAGGGCGAAGCACCGGTCCTCCTGGGAGCTGTTGGCATTGCCCAGGAGCCTGCCCAGGCACTTCCAGCCGCCTGGAGCCCTGGGTTCCCCCTCCCAACCCTCCACAGCAGGCTTTCTTTGACAATGAGAGGGAGGACACAACCCAAAGTAATTTTCAGGTGGTGAGAAGGAGGAGAGGGGTTTCAGTGTGGGGTGTTAGGTCCTCCCTCTGACCACTTCCTCATCATTTCTGGAGCTGCTGTCTGTTCCACCGATCAACTGACTAGGGTGGTCACCTATGACTCCCCTAGGGTCCTGTGTATGACCCAGTCCATCAGGTAACTGTGGGTGTTGCGGAGAAGGGGGTGCAGAGGGGATAGAGAAGCAGAGACAGGAGAGAAGACAGAGAGAAGAAGAAAGAGGAAGGAGTAGGGGGGAGAGACGGGGGGAGAGGAAAAAGGGGAGGAGGAAGGAAAGAGGAGGGGTGGAGGAAGAGGGAGAGAGAAGGGAAAGGGGAGAGCGTGGGATATGCCCCCACCCCCACCCCCGCAGGAGGTGAGGGAAGCAGGACCAGGAGTGAGAGACTAGACTAAATGGAGAGGGGGATGTCGGGAAGACTTACCTGGACTCCTCCAACAAACCAGGAGGAGGTAAGTCGCAGAGTGAGGGCGCGAAAAGCTTGCTTTGTTTGCTGCAGTGGGTGGCTGCGGTGGTAAGTCAGTTACTCCCGAGTTCCAGAGGCTGGAGGGGGCTCAGATGCTAAGCCAGACGCACCTGCACCTCCTTCCCTCACCGGAGCCCCAAACAAAGGGGGCAGCTGGCAAGACGGGCTGCAAGTACCGCCAGCCCGCCAACCAGGGGGAAGGGGCGCAGGTGACAGCGGCCCCTGGCAACCGTTTCCCTGGCAACCGTTGGCAGCTACCGGGAACTACTACGTCACTGCCCAGCTCAATCCAACAGTGAGGCCCCCTAACTTGACGGACACTCAAGTCCCCCAAACTCAGATACTGACTGGGACAGACAGGGAACAGGCAAGAGGGAGGCAGGAGTTTGGGATGGAAATTTATGGAGAATATTAATGGGTATCTGCCGGCCTAGGGGGGGACCTCAAAGAGCCAGAGCTCTCACTTTCTCAAGAGCAGTTCAACAACTGATTTTTACGTGAAGGCAATTAAATTTGCTTTTAAAGTGAAACCTTTGCAGAAACCAGTGGGAGTTACCCCTTGACCAAAAATGCTGCTTGTCAGCTGCCCCTAGAGGCTATCACGCTGGCGTGAACCTCAGCTCAGGCTGGGCACCCTCTAACTTCCACCATGGGCTGCAGCCTGCAGCGAGCAGGGAGCTCACACCAGACTTCCCTGGAAGTGGCTTAGGGGCCACGCCCCCTCTCCAGATCACCACTCCCACCAGGAACCTTCCTTCTGGGTTAGCCTTGGGGTGCGTGGGTTAGCCTGGATTAGCCTCAGAGCTCCCTGGGAGCCCAGAGAGACTCAGCCCCTCTGTTCTGTGCCCCAGAGTAAGCAGCAGTCCAGGGAGGGAGAACAGAGGCAAAGCTTCTAGAACTGCTCTTATGAGCCCGGGCATATCAGAGACCAGAGACCCATTCCTCCACTCCGCAGGGTAGCCTGTCCCCCTCTTAGCCAGGAAACCGAGGCTCAGGATATAATGTGACTGGCTCAAAGCCACCTAACCGGTAAGGGAGAGGCAAATCTCTGAGGCATCATGACCCAGTGTCCGCGGGATGTTTGAGTAACCCCCAGTCACCCCTGAACATTACATTGTGTGGTCTCCAGAGACAGGGTGCAAACCTCCTCCCAAAGAAATACATCCTCTTCACCTCTATAAAAGTCCATCGTGGCCACTGAGTCAAAGGGAAAAGGACATCACAGCCAAGAGTGGCCGGACAAGGTGCCCGAGAAAACTAGGTACAGGGGTCCCCACCGAGGTGACAGCTCCAGACCAGCAGAAGAGCAGGCCAGGGCACTTTCACGGGGTGCTCCCAGAGTGGGGAGTCCTGGGGATCACACTCCTAAGGGGCTGGGGTGCTTTGGGACGGGTGCCGAGGCCATGGGAAAAGCAGCAGGGCCAGGGGGCCAGGGGGCCAATGTGCCCTGCACCCCACCCCGCGCCTCCCCCACGTGGGCCAGTGCCAGGAGCCGCTGCGGCTACTCTACGAATCCACTATTGTCTCGCTGCCGTGCCCCATTCAGTCACTATTTTTGGCCCCCGGAGGAAGAGGAAAAGAAAGCAAAGAAAGGAGTTGCTGTTCTCGGTGGAACCTCAGCCAGGAAAGGAGCCCAGAGCCTGCTGGGCCAGAGAAGCAGCCACTGTGGATTAAAAGATCCTGCTCTCAAAGGGGCTGGCAGGGGGCTGCCGGTGGGGAGACAGGGAGAGCGCATGTCACCGTGGGGCACCCCTGGTGTTCACACACACTGGCAAGACCCAGAGAGAGAGAGGCACTGCCCCCGAGACCTGCTGGTAGTGTCTGAGCATTTGCAATAAAATTTCCTCCTGCAGGAGGGAGGGAGGGAGGAGGGGACACAGAGATGGGGGGAGGGGAGGGAGGGGATAGATAAATAAAATATGCTATAACCCAACCCCAACCCAGTTCATTCTGCTTACAGAGAGGTGCGCTGTCTCTCTCAGAGGCAGTGGGGGTGGGGAAGGCACCTGTACAAACATACCAGCTCCCACACACTGTGTGAGAAGGGCGGGTGTGAATGGGAGATGTGAATGGGTGGCGGAGGCCCAGAGGCAGCAGGATCAGAATAGCAAGCTGCTGGTGCTGAGCTCCTCCAGCTTCTGCCACCCACCTTCATGCACCTTCATGCACTCTCCGGCTCCAGTCTGTCCTCAGACACACCCCAGGGCCTTTGCATGCCCTCGCCCACAACGCAGCACATTTTCTCTAGCACCCTGGCCCTGACTGGCTCCTTCTCAGGCCATATTCCAATGTGCTCTCTCCCACGACCCCCCCAGTCAGAGCCACGCTCTCCCCATCCGTCACCCGATCTTGTTAAGGACGAAGCACTGAACGCCTGCAAGACCCTGTGATTTGCTGGTTAACCTGCTCTGTCTTGGTCTCCACTTTTGTCTCCAGTAGATGCCAAGCGCCGGGACTGCTAGTTAAATAAGAGTGAATGAGACCCGGGGGGCTGAAGCCCAGCTCAGGTTCCCAGCCTCTTCCCAGTAGAAGCGAGTCCCTGCTTCTGTAGTTGCCATGTCAGAGTGACCCTCAAGGCAGGCACTCGGCACCGAGCCGTGTCAGCGGGCACCCTGACCCTGCAGGGGCGCTCAGCGCAGGCCGGGAGGCTAAGCCCCAGCCCAGTGCTCCACATGCCGCCGAGCCGAGGTTCCGACAAGTCCTCCAGAAGCCCAGAAGTGCCCCCCTTTCTGAAACTACAGACCTGCTTCCCAGAGGTCCCATCTGAGTGGGGATCACCAAGCCTTGGGGCTTGCTCAGTTGAGGCCGTACCCAGCCTCGCAGCCCTGGGTGGCCTGCTGCCCAGGGCCAAGTGAGGAGGGGCCTGGAGGGGGTGTGCCAATGAAGGGGGGGTCATGTCCTCTCACGACAAATACCAGGTTTCTATCTGGGGTCCCTGAGATGGAGTGAAGAGAAGAAATGGCTTGTGCCTGTGGTCAGGAAGGATCCTGGGGTCTTGGAACCTGGGGGTAAGTGTACCCCGAGCCCCCAGACTCACAGGATGCTGGGGCACAGACAGGAACCTGTAAGAGCGTGAGCCACATGGCGCCCGCCTGCCCTCCCCAATGCACTCGGTGTGCTATGTGGAGGTGCTGCGATGCCCACCTCACTGCCGAGGAAACCGGCTCAGAGAGGTGAAGTCACTTGCCCAGGGTCACACAGCTGGTGAAACTGGCCTGAGCCCAGCTCCACACATTCCTTTGCCTAAGTTGCAGCCATGTTCCCCGACTCTGGCCTCTCCGGGACACAGGGAAAGCCACACATTTCACAGAGGTGAGCACACAGGCCCGGGGGGCTGGTGGACAGGCCTGGGCCTCACAGTCCAGCAGCAGACGCAGGCCCCTTCTCCTAAACTCTCAGGGGAACACCCCTGCCCCTAGACAGCAGCTTCCGGTTCTGGTATCCAAACCCAGGTGGGAGAGCAGAGGCGGTGCTCTCAGGTCCCTTGGGCGGGGTTGGGGTGGGATGGGGGGACCTGCTGTCCTCCCCACCCAGCTGGCATGCACCCCCTTCCAGGCGCCAGGGCCTCAGGAGCTGGAGAGCAGGTCCCCTCACCCGTCCCATCCAGGCTGGGTGCTTAGGTGGCAGCCCATGAGGTCGATGACTCGGGATATGTTGAGTTTGGAGGAAACCACAGGATTCCTGCTCACCTGGCCGCTGCCCATGGCTCTCGAGAGGCGGGGCCCGGTGCACGTGTGTGGGAGAGGCATGAGCGTGCAGGAAGAACACCCTGGCCAGGTGCAGCTGGATGGGGAGAGCAAGGGCAGCACCGGCTTCTGGACGAATGGGAGGTGGGTGTCCCCCTCCCCAACTTTGCCATCAGCTGCTCCCTCCTACTGCAGTCCCAATGCCCCCACCCCAGTCTCCCTCACCCTCTGCACCGCCCATCCCATGCTTGCATGGGCTCCTAGAGACGACGGACTTCCAGCGAAGTGCAGCATGGTGCAGGAAGGCTAGGGAGAGGGTTTCTGGAAGGAGGCCCACCAGCCTGCCTGACAAGGGTAAAGTGGCCAATGCTTAAGGGGCTTGATACCAAGGCAGAGTGTGAGAACTGGGTGCCGCCTCTGCCCCCCGCCTCCCGGGCCAGAAAGGGTCCGAGCTGCAAGAGGCTGTGAAGGGCCACGTGATGCTCAAGTCCTCTCTGCAGCTTCCCAAACTGATACCCTCAGGGACAGGGAGCTCACCCCCATGGGGCCGGCTCCGGGACAGGAGGTTACTTTTACTGGCCAGGACCTTGGACCTGTCGCCTCATCTGTGAAACCTGGAGGAAGATTCAAGTCTCTGAGCACCTGCAGCCGCCAGGGCTGCATGAGGGATTATGTGGGCAGTGAAGCCTTACCCACTGGGAGTGGGGGTGGGTGATGAGTAGCCGGGTTGGGGGTGGACACGAGCTCAGACGGTGACACAGCCCGAGCAGCAGCAGGCACAGGGGCCAGACCCGGAGTGACTCAGCTGCCCCAACCAGCGACTGGGGTTCACCCCTCACACTTGTTACCATGGCGGCAGGTGGGCCTGGACAGTTGGTGCACACAGTCAGGGTGCAGGGTACTAGCCACAGAGCCACACCCCGACGGCCAGACCCAGCCAGAGACCCAGAGAGGCCGCCCAGCCCCCCACAGGCCAAGGGAATGCAGAGAAATGACCGCAGAGGACAGGCACCAGCCCAGCACGAACCCAGGCCCCCCTGCAGGCCCAGGACCATGGCCAAGTCAGCCAGGCCCTCGCGTGTCAGGGAGCTGGAGGGAGCCCCAGTTTGGGACAGCTTCTCAGGCCAATGGGTCAGGGTCTCATTAGATGGGGCCTTTCCAGTGCTATCATGGGAGGATAGGGCCAGGACCCCAGGGTGAACTCACTGCTGGTCCCCAAGGGGAGGGCATGGTGGGAGCCTGGCAGTACCCATGCCATGCTGGGCACTACACTCAGCACGGGCCATTTACTTGCTTACTTAATTCCCTTAGGTGCCAGCACCATCCCCATTTAAAGATGAGGACCATCAGGCCCAGAGACGTGAGTACACCTGCCCAATGTGGCACAGCTGGTGTGGTTGCAGCAGGTTGCCCCAGGGCTGCCACTTGCGCCATCTCAGCTGGGGGACAGCTGAGCCGGGTGATGGAGAAACAAAGGCCCAGGGCAGTTGGGGAGGGGTGTCCACTCCTCGGCCCCTGCAGGATGTGGCTATCTCAGCCCGTCAGACAGGGTCATGTCTAAGTTCTAGAGGTCTAGATCTCTTCACCCCCATTCTACAGCCTAAGTTAGGAGACTTAGAGAAACGAAGCAGCTTGCTCAAGGTCACCTCAAGGATTTGTACCTTATTCTGCTCCACTGCCACGTGACGCTGAAACAAGACCTTAGCCGAGGCTAAGGGATGTTAAGTGCCTGTTTTGCAGCACTGACTGCCCCAAATTCCAGGCAGGGGTGTCGCTGCCATCTCCCCGGGTGGGTGAGGACACCGGTATCCAGGTGGCTATGTCCCTGGGGGCCCCATGGGGTACTCTCCCCTTGGGGCTGAGAGAGACAGGCCTGGGATTCTGGGCAGAGGCAGCAGAGGCCTGGGGCACAGCGAAGTCCCGTGAGGCAGCTCTGGTCTCTCCCTGCTTCTCCTGCTGGACTTTAAGTGGCCCTGGGCCTGGGAACCACAATGGAGCCATTAGCTACAGAAGGGTTGGTGTTTCGGGGGGGTGGCACTGGGCTGGCTGTTGGAGAACAGCCCCCCCCGCCCTCCCATGCCCAGCCAGCTCCCTCCAATGCAGAGGTTGCCATCGGGCCCAAATTCTGCCAGTTCCTCCGCCTCAGCTTTTATCTCCGCTGCCTGGAACTGCCAAGTGTGGCACAAACCGCCTGAGCCCATGCCAGGCAGGTCCTGACCGCTCAGCCAGCTGGTCTCCCTGCCGAGGCACGGCCCAGCGGCAGTGGGGGGGGGGGAGGGGGTAGCTGTCGCGCCCCAGCCAGAGCAGCCCTGCTGTCCCAGAGGGGAAGGCAGGAGGGAGTCCCCCCAAGTCCTGACAGCTGCTGTGTGCCCAGGGGATGCAGTCTCCATGCAGGCTAACATTGCTCGGCCAGCGTGGGGCCAGCTCTTTTCCACACTGATGCACGTAGCGGGCCCTGGAGTAGATGTTACTGTCATCCACTTTTCCCAGGCAGACGCCATACCACCAGGGAGGGACAAAGTCGGGGTTGTCCCGGGCAGACGGCCTTACTATCGCTGCGGGCCAGGCTCCCCAGAGGAGTGTGGTGCAGGGAGAGGGTTCCATCTCCCCCAGACCCTCGCCTAGCCCTGTTGAGAAACTGCAGGGCTCCCTGAGGGCCTCAAGGAACTCCCAATGGGGCGAGGGGGCCACA